CACCACCACCACCACCACCATCACCACCACCACCACCACCACTACCACCACCACCATGGACGTCACCGCCGAGTCCTTCCCCAACGACATACTCGGCCTGCTCATCCACATCTCCGAGGCCGAGTTCGTGTCCTTTGACCTGGAGCTCTCTGGCATCCCCAGCCGCCTGCCCAACAGGAAGCCCCGCGGCGCCGGACGACTGACCCTCGAAGACCGCTATGCTGAGACCAAGGAGGGCGCCGACCGCTACCAGATCCTGCAGGTCGGCCTGACGTGCGTCAAATTCGACTACATGGCCAACAAGTACGTGCTGCGGCCCTACAATATCGACATCAGCCCGCTGCTGCACGAGCGCCTCGACTTTGAGCGCGAAGTCACCTTCCAGAGCGGCGCATGCTCGTTCCTGCTGGGCTGTGGCTTCGACCTCGGCGCCCCCTTTGCGCGCGGCGTCCCGTACCTCTCACGTGACGAGGCCGAGAGGGCGAAGAAGCTCGCATACGACCGCATCGACAAGAAGAACGTCATCGAGGACCTGCAGCTCAAGGACACCGACACCGAATCGCTCGACTTTGTGCGCCGCTGCAGGGACGCCATATCCGCCTGGCAGAAATCCGCCTCCACAGCCCTCGACATTACAACCTCTACTGGCCTCCCCAATGCGACTGCGTCCAACACCAATGCGACTGCGTCCAACACCAATGCGACCGCGTCCAACACCAATGCGACCGCGTCCAACACCAATGCGACTGCGTCCAACACCAATGCGACCGCGTCCTACACCAATGCGACCGCGTCCAACACCAATGCGACCGCGTCCAACACCATCTCGCGCTTCGAAAAGCGCCTCGTCCACCAACTCGTGCGCGCCGAATTCCCCGACGCCGTGGCCGTGGGAAGAAACGACTGCATCCGCATCCTGCCCTTTGACGCCGCCCGCGAGGCAGACAACGTGCGCCGCATCAAGACGCGCGTCAAGGAGCAGATTGCGCGCCAGACCGGCTTCCGGTGGATCTTCGAAGCGCTGGTCGGCGGCGACGTCAACGCCGACCTGCTGCACATCCTGCGCAGCAACGGGCCCTCCGACCACAGAGACCGATTCGACCGTGCCTTGGCGCGGCTGAAGAAGAACCGCCCCGTTCTCGTGGGGCACAACATGTTCACCGACATTGTCTATCTGTACCGTACCTTTGTTGGGCCGCTGCCGGACACGCTGGATGCCTTTAATGGGCGGCTGCATGAGCTGGCTCCGAGGATCGTGGACACAAAGTACCTGGCCACGCATGACGAAGGCGACTTGAACGCGAGCCCGACGCTCGAGGAGATTGCGCGGGGGCTGCAGAAGCAGCAACTACCCACCACGGTCACGCACGAGGACCACGGCAAGTACAACGAGCTGGAAGCGTTTCACGAGGCGGGCTACGACAGCCTGCTCACCGCGACCATCATGCTGCGCTTGGCGGCGAAGCTGGGCGCAGAGCGCAGCGAGCCCACAGAGTCAATAGAGGACACTACAGTCCGACCAGCGAAGCCAGCGCTCGGCGGAGAAGCCTCCGAAGGCGGCATCTCGCTCGCCCAAGGCCCTTTAGCATCAAACTTTCCCGCCGGCCGCGACAGAGTACAAACTCCCATCGCCGTGGCCCCCGGCTCCACACTGACCGCGCGCAAGAACCGCCGGGCTAAGCGCAAGAACAACGCGAAAACGGAAGAGCAGACACGCCATCGTTTCGCGACCAAGACCGTGTTTGAGAAACTGAGAGAGTTGAGCGTCGCCGATGCCGCCGCGTCTGGGTCGGAGGAGGAGGAGGGAGAGGGGGAGGAGTTGGACCACGACACACTACACGCAAACGGCAACAGACGAGGGCAAGGCCAGGGGCAAGGTGAAGACGACGACGGCACACGACCCACAGGGACCTGGGCGGACGAAGAGTACGTGCAGGACGAGACGGGGTGGGTTCCCATCCAGACACGGGCGCGGGCGGAGATGGAGTTTATTCCACACTTCTCGTCCTCTTTCTGGCACGGCTTTGGGAACAGACTCCGCGTCTTCGGCACCGAGGAGAGGGAGCTCAGCATCGCGCCCTGGCCCGCACAGCACGCGTAGGCAGGATACTGCCGCTGGCGCGTACCTTTCTTCACACTTGGTCCACGTACTTTCCATCGTTGCACCCAGCCCGTCCACTGGTCTCTCCGTCGACGATGCCCACAGACCTGGCAGATGTACAGCGCGACGCAGTGCAAATTCTCGGGGGATCGTGGGGTCCTTCCCAATCCATCCGTCCGCACAGCCAAGCCCTGGGCATCATCCACCGCGTCGTGCTCCGCCACCCCATGGTCTTGCATTCACCACCACCAGGCAACCACGGGTCCATGCTCACCCCCGCCGCACGCACAGCCCTAGCTTGCTCCCCGACACATACGCGCCGTGCAGACCCACCACCGCTAGCACAATGGGCTGCACATCCTCGCGCCCAACGCCGAGAGAGGGACAGCGTGCGCGCCATGACGGCCCGCCCCGCTCGCAGCACGCACACCAGCCTACTTCTTCTGCGCATAAACCGCTGGGGTACGTCGATTTCTCGCGTTGATTCCTCACGTCGATTCCTCGCGTCGATTTCTCGCGTCGATTCCTCACGTCGATTCCTCGCGTCGATTCCTCGCGTCGATTCCTCGCGTTGATTCCTCACGTCGACTCCTCACGTCGATTCCTCACGTCGATTCCTCACGTCGATTCCTCCCGCTATCGCTGCTTGGTTGACACTCAACAGCCGCGGGTTCGGTCCGTATGAGAGACCTGGAGGGCCGGATGGACCGGGCCATGCGACGGGGGCGGCGCTGGGGATTGCTGGGGGGCCGAAGGGGTAGGCGTCAGTTGAAGCGAGGCGAGTCGAGTTGAGTTGGGTTCATACATCGCGTCCTGTGTACGTGTCTGCACGAGCCGAATTGATCACTCGTTCTCACTTGCTGGCGCCGTTTGGTGACTCCGTGCTTTGTCGTGGACTGGACGTCGCTGCGCTTTGTATTCAACCATGCTCCAACTTCAGAACCAAGGCGGCGCGAGTGAGAAAGCCAGCAACACGAATGAGTGGATCTATCCTACATGTACTGCGCCCAGCAGAGTAACAAGGACAAGCAGTCCACGAGCCAGGAGTCAGCTTGAGTTGAGGGTGGTTGTTGGTGGGCTTCTGTCCTGTCCTGAAGGTCCTCACGGGTCGAGCAGAGGAAGAGTGGCGACGCTTTGAGATTTACCGCACTGGTGTGCACTGAGACCGTAACCTACCTATCGTCCATGCACTGTAGCTCCACCGCTTCGGTGATGACATGACTGAATGGGTGTTGCTGTGCACGTGGAGCGCTTTCTCTAATTACAATCTCATTCTCGCCGTTCCAGCATTTAGCGGACTTGGTGCATGTGAATCTCGGCGCTACTGTGCGCTTCTCAAGTAACGTTACGCTATGGATTCATAATCGTAAACCATGGAGATGAGTGAGAAACGCCGCTATGCAGCAGTGAAGCTTATTCGCAAACCAGTTACGTACCTAGCGTAGCGACCCAGTCCACTAAGCATAAATCGTCAGACAACTTGGCGCTTCAACGCGCTGCATTTCTGAGACCTCGCGGCTGCTCCCAACGTCTCGTCGCGCTGTGTCTCGATGCATCTCTGCTTCTTGCGGGCGTTCGATAGTGAAACTACATGGTGAGCCATCGCGCGTTCAGCAGGACGTTGGCGAAACCGAGGACGCTGAATGACAGGACAACAGCGAGGCTTGAATGTCCAGGACACAATCGCGAATTGATGTCTTCAGCTATCGCCAGCTCGCTGCCGTCTGATTCCCAATACTTCCCTAACCTCTAGATCTTCTAACGAGAGTCTACGTAATGCTATGCGAAGGTACAGTATGCCATTGTCAAATTGAGGCCGATTCAATTGTGGCGTGGCCACGTCTGATCCAGTGTGGCAACGAGTACTGTTCTGGCCACAAACTCACCATCTGACTGAGCATTGGTACCTTGTAGTTGTCCTGGCCAGGCCGGCCAGAGCCCAGTCCTGACAGCTATTGGATAGGTTAAACTCTAGCGCTTCTTAGTGCGTTGAAGAACCAAGGGGAGCAACGTTAGAAGATGATAGTGCCGTAGTAGAGGATGGGAAGACATCAGTTGTAAGGAAGTTGGCTAGAAGCAAATGGGCCGCCAGTGGAATGAGGGAAGTTCGGTCGGGTCTTGAAAGCTGAAATCGAGATGCACAACATGTGATGCCAACTATAGCAGATGCCTTAATTGATTACTCTTAACTGATTACTCTTAATTGATTACTGCCACGTGCGATTGGTTCCTGCCGGTCGTATTTCACCGTCCATACATCCAAGCATCCATTGTGCTGCCTTTGTCGTAGTCAAAGCGCGTTGCCATGGGGACGCTCGAACCTCGTCATAACGCTCAGTCGACTCATTCAGTGCCCAGTGGCTTGGCATCTCCGAAAGTAGTCTCCCAGCCCTCAGTGTTTCCGTACTATTTGTGTGTCTCAAGCGCTTGGGCATTATCCTCGGCAAAGCTGGTGTGTTGTTGATGTCCTCATGGGAATGACAATCATGGCTTCGAGGGTTGTGTCGCGCAGCTCTAAGGTTTCGAGCGCGATCTTGTAGATCTTGATGCCAAGCCGTTTGCTTCCAGCAGTCTGTTATTATGATGTTTTTACGAGATGCAGATCGTTCTGGTCAAATGATCATGTCAGCGATGCTTCTCAAGCGTTTCACAGGGCTGTCAAAGCTGCACAGAACGAGCGCTTACAACACCAAGACTGAGGGTCTCGGACTTAGATCATTTCGCAGCACCCGCCTTCACTCATGCGAATGCAGGTGGCTACAAACGGAAAAAGCAGGCGAGGGCGATGTAGGCAGTTCGGTAGGTATAGAGTCTCAGGGTCAGGCATGTTAGTCGTGGGCGCTTGCTTTATTAACAGACGGAGCGCACTGATAGTATTGGGGACGACCACCTGTATCATGGCGCTTGAAGGGCTTGCAAAAGCTCCACAGATGTCAGCGTAGTCCTACTAAGATTGGGCTAACCAATTAACAACGAAAAGTAGGCAATATCGGTAGGTGCTATCGAGCAGACCGGCAGTGACAGCTGTCGAATGAGTCACCTTCGGCCGTGATTTGCAACTAGCGGGGAAGGAAGAACGATGGCCCACGTCGGTTGAGTGTTGACACAGCCTACATTTCGACAAACAGAGGTTCACTTGTGCGAAGCCAGGCTGAGGCTATATGGCCCTCCGGAGGTCCATCTTCGTACAGCCGCTCAGCCTTAGTGAGCATAGACACAGTCCCTCCCCTTAACCTATATGGTGTCATATGAACGGTATCCACGTTCGCGTGTTTGCTCGGTACTTCTCGTAGTCCTTGCCAAAGAACTGAATAAGGTGTCCCTCCTCGTCTGCATGATGTTAGCACGGTGCTGCCAGACCAGAAGCGTGATTGGGCGTACGTGTAATTCTCTTCATAAAGAAGTACCACAGAACGCAGGCATAGCCCAGAGTGCAGACGGTATTGCCGACCATCAATTGGGTTCCAATACCCCACCAGAAGAACCCAAAGTACGACGGGTGGCGGAAGTAGGCGTACAGGCCACGAGTGACAAGCTCATGGCCATCGTTTTTCTTTGATTGGACTTGATGATTGAAGTTCGTGCCCGCTTGTGCCATGGCAGTACTCCTCACAACTTGACCCACCAGCACCAGAATTATGCCCGCAAGTATAACCATCGGCAGATGGACCTTCGACTGCCAACTGGGAAATAAGCATGACGTGATGATGGTCTCGACGAAGGCAACGGTATGCGCGATGCGGTAGTGGGCGCCGTTGGTAAGCAGGAACGAGCTTATCTTTGCGTCCGGTGTGTTGTAAGCCGCAGTTGTGTAGAACTCGAGAAAATGGAACACAGAGAGCGTGCCGAGGAAGAGGAAGGGCCGCCATAGGTGACTGCCGTGGTGCACAAGCTGTGCCGCGAAGGAGAAGCCCACAATTGCAGCATTGCCTAAGAAGAAAGCACGCAACCCTATGCCTGCTAATGAACGCTTTCCTGAAGGAAAGTACTCGGGAGGTACATAGTTCGCGGGCTTGACCTGAACGTGCGAAGACTCTTGTACGCGCGATCTAGCGTCAAGCCCCGGAGTCCACTCGCCCTGTAGTGGTGGGCGATTGACAGGAAGCGATATGTTGTCGTGTGTTGCATGTGCATTTGCTGAACGGTTCGGGTCCATAATTGCGCAAAATGTGAGGGAGCAGCGGCAGGACAAGAAGAAAGAGGAGCCTACGGCATGCTCAGAAGGGGACGTAAAACCGTACTCGAGAAACGCAGATATGTGCAAGTTGCGTCGGACAATATCAAGAGCGCACAAGCTGTCCCGCCATTGTTCACACACGCGAACAACGCGCCTGATCTCATCAGATCTAGCTGCATTAGAGTTGGTGTGCCAAGACATCTTACATAATGCACGAGGCAACGTAGCCACGGTTGCGCTTACACCCCAAGATCGGAGCCACGCACTACATTCACCATGTCGAGCCTCAGGCTTCCTTTGATAAACACGTTCTCGGACCGGTGGCTCCCGCCCTGTAATGATAACCAAGCCATCCTTCACACATCACACCGGGCCCTTGAAAGTTGAAACTGTCGCCCACTAAACGTCGTTGATATGGCCCTCTCAGCGAATAAACAGCGCATGGCTCGTGGTGAGCTGTACACAGCATTTACTCCTGAACTTATTGCAGAACGGGCGCGTTGCAAAAATGCATGTGCACGCTATACAAATGCTGGAGAAGTTCCCCGCCGAAAATTGACTGAGTTGTTCAGGGAGTGAGTCTATCGCCTACCACCTCGTGCGGGACTATTTTTGCTGATGCTTCCAACAGCATCATTCAAGACAATACACCACTGCCTCCTCAGGCATCAACAGCTGAGGAAGACGACGCCCTGTTCGGGGATGACCCTTGGATCGAGCCCCCACTGGCCATGGACTACGGCTACAACGTTCGGCTCGGCAAAAACGTCTTCATCAACTTCAACTCAGTGTTCCTGGATACTTGTTTGGTCACCATTGGCGATCGTACGCTTGTTGGCCCTAACGTCTCGTTCTACTCTGGCACACATCCCCTTGATCCAGTCATCCGCCAGGGGACCCGTGGTCCTGAACTCGGAAAAGAGATCCACGTTGGACAAGATTGCTGGATTGGAGGAAACGCGATGATCCTGCCCGGTGTCACGATAGGTCGAGGCTGTGTCGTGGGTGCTGGAAGCGTTGTGACGAAGAATGTCCCCGACTTTACCGTTGTAGCAGGGAACCCGGCTCGCGTCGTGCGCAAGATCGAAACTCGGATGGATCCCGCACAGAGCGGTGTCGAATGGGGCGGCTGGCCCGAAGAGCGGGCAGAGGATGCGTAGATACCAATGTCGCAGATGCCAGAGGCGAACATTGCGCCAAAATAAATCGTCCCTGAAGGACGACGTGCGAGGAACTGCAATGCATGAAGCTGCATATTCTGGTGAAATCTCTGCCACGAGAAGACGTCTATTTGACGCGTTCCTTCCGCCCTTCGAACGAATCATTTAGGTAGTATCATTTATCCCTTAGATCGCAGCTGAGACTTCGGTCGGTCCGGGGCAACGATTCACACATCGTATCGCGATGCACATTATGATATTGACAAGCGCGACAGCGAAGCGCGATAGCAGTGTAGTGACGGTCTCAAGGAATACGCGTTTCGCAGCGTTCGACATTAAACTTCATTGCAACAGGTTCACCACCTCGCATGCGCACCTCGATCGAGAAACGCGTACCCAAACAATCTCTTCACTTCCGTACATACATTCATGCGTCCAACGGGCAGCCCGCTCGACTGTCATTCACTCTGAAAGCCTATGTAAGACACATGAAGTTATGCGCGGGCTCTTGTGTTTGCGGCTCTTACAGCAAAGTCTAGTGCTGCCGCATTGTGCAACATGAGTCGTCTGTCGTGGAACGCTGAAGTCGGCAGCGAATATGTGTGGAGAAGGCGAATCCGGGGGTCGTGAGCAGAAACCAATGACTCCTTGAGTGGAATACCTATCTTGCAGTCCGCCTTAGCATGCGCATTGACCAACAGGACAGGCTAAGGTTAGTAAGGTTCGAGACAAGATTTGATGATCTCCGGCAAGCTTCGCGCGCCAAGACCAACGAAACCGACCCTCAGACGCCACCAAAACAGTGACATCGGAGCTCAAAACCGATTCGGCAGTCACAGTCACTGTTTGGGCTGGGTACACCCAGCGAGACCACGACTCTGTGTCTGGGGTTGTAGCCTTAGCAAACACTGCCCGCCAGAGGTCGGCACTACCAAGGTCGCCTGACGCATGGCCTGGCACATTACGAGACCGTCAGGCCAGGTAACGTTCTGCCTCCAGAACAGATGCCGAGTCTTCACAAGCGGCTTCGTTCCAGACCACTGCCCAGGCTGAGACAACAAATCTGCTTCTGCGGGGGAGTTATGCGTTTGGGTCAACGGCGCGGGGCCCAACCCTCAGCGAGTACAAATACTTCGTCTGCCTACACCCATAATCTCATCATCGGACAGGCTCCTCATACTTCTTCAGGCTAATACTTTCTATTCAGCATCTTCTAACTTTCTTATATCCACTAATTAACTCTTTACCTGAGCATATAATATCCCACTCGGTTGATCCGACACATCACAGCCACCATGAAGTACATTCTCGTCGCCTCTCTTCTCACCTCCGCAGTTCTTGCTGCCCCCTTCGCCCAGCAGGGCCAGGGCAATGCGAACACCGGCAACAACAATGGCGGTGCCCAGCAGGCGCAGGGCGGAGCTACTCAGCAGCAAGGCAATGGCCAGACTCAGCAGCAAGGCAATGGCCAGACTCAGCAGCAAGGCAATGGCCAGGCTCAGCAGCAAGGCACCCAGAACACCCCCACCGGGGCCGGCGCCACCAACGGTCAGACTCCTACCGCTGGTGACCTCGCCACCGCTGTCTCCAACTGGATGGCCGACACTTCCATGGTCTCCAACTTCCTGAACACCGGCGCCAGCATTCAGAACAACGCTGCCTTCAAGCAGGCTGCTCTCGTCGCCTACAACGCTGAAGTCGATGAGCTCAACCAGAAGGCTGTGATCGATGCTGCCAACAGTCAGCAGCCCAACGTACAGGCCGCCAACTCTACCCTCGCCACCGGTGGTGCTTTCATGGATGTCGTCACTAAGCTTCAGATCATGTCCGTCCAGGGCAAGGCTGCTGCCAACAACATCGACCTGATCAACCAGAACCGCTGCGTCAACGTCCTCCCCAACATCGATGCCTACATGGCCTCCACCGGCTCCAGCTCCCAGGCTGTTCGTCCCCAGGTCTGCGACCAGACTGGTGTTGCTGGTGGTGTCCAGGGCAGTGGTCCCACTCTTCCCGGCCAGCCCGCTGGTACTCCTCAGGCCGCTTTTACCGCCGCTCAGGCTCTTCAGCAGGGTCAGGGTAACGGTCAAGTCCAAAATGGTGCCGCTACTGGTCAGACTGGCGCCGCTACTGGTCAGACTGGTGCCAACGGACAGACTGGTGCCGCTACTGG